AGATAATGGGGATCGGCTAGCTGAAGATTCTGAAGTGAGCCGATCCTCGCTGATGAGCATGAAAATGACGGAATTATTGCGGTGAGCTTCTTTAGAATGTGGGCATTGAGTTGCAGTTGATGAGTTCCACTGTTCGATTGTAGAGTGACTGAAAATATTCCTCTGGTGTATCCTGAATTAATTCCACCAATTCCCACTAGCTCCACTGTTGATGCTCTTCTCTGTAAATACAGTTGATTAACTAATTGTTCGGAGATAAACGATACCTCTGAACCCTGGTCGATGAGTGCTCTGGCTTTTGTCGTGAATCCTCTCGGTGATATTACTTTTACTCGTGCTATTGCCAACAGCACTGACTGTTGATCTGCTTCTCCTTGGTGAGTTTCGTGGTTGATGTTCTCTGCTTTCTCATTGATCATTTTGTTGTTGAAGTTCACTGCTACTGCTGGTGATGTACTGGATTCTAATGTTGAGGAATGATCAATGAGATGGTGAGTGTGCTATTGCGATTGAATTCATTCACTCACTGTTCCCTTGATCCTCTTGCTGCCTGGATGTTCCGGCAGTCTAGACGGGTTCAGCTGGAGTGCGTCGGGCTGGAGGCGGGCTCATCGTCCATGAACTCCCTCCATGGATGAGAGTGTGGTGATATCTGCTACATTTGTGGCACTTCTTGTCCGACGTGCACTTGGCCTTCGTGTGTGGCAAGCAGTTCCTAGGGAGTTGTCTTTCTGGCTCCTTAAGTTCCTGCTGGTGAGTTGCTGCTGTATAGGTGCTCCTTTTCTTTATTGGAGCTGACTTCTTCGTGGCTGCGTTGATTTCCTTTGATGATAGCAGCTTGGTACCTGCGTTAATCCCTCTGCCGCAGGCCTCGATGAACGCCACGAACTCCTTAAGGCTCGGGAAATCCTTTGAGTCTCCCAGCTTTAGTTCCCACTGCTTGAGTGTCTCTGCATCAAGAGATCTCCTCAGTAAATGGGCTATCAGCTGTTCAGCGATGGTTTCCGTCGTTAACCCCGTCACGTCTTGTAGTTGATCGAGGGTCTCCAATGCTGCTGCTCCGTTGGCGCTGAGGTTCTCTTCTGTTGCTTGGGTGATTTTCGGCAGCGTCAGGATGCTGTTGAACAGCGACTGAGCGATGAGTCTAGGGTCCTCGTACTTCCTGGTGAGTTTCTGCCAAGCCTTTTCGTAGTTTTCGTCCTTGGCCTGAAAAGTAGAGAGGAGAGCTGCTGCAGGACCTCTCAGGCATCCCTTAAGTCTCACCAATTTCTGTACTGGTGGAATTGACATGACATTTCCCACCAGTGACAAGAAAAGGTCACTGAACTCCTTCCATTCCTCCGGTTTCCCATCAAATGGCTTGATGTCAAGACGCTTCAGCTGATTTGCCTGGCTTTGATCCGTTGAGCTGCTAATTGAGTCCTTCTTCCTTGCCAGTTGACCCTTCAGCCGAGCAATGAGCATCAGGGCTTGTCGTCTTGTCCTGGTGGCTCGTTGATGGATCATTTCGTTGACATACTCGTGATCAGGGGGAAGAAACTCGGCTAGATTGGCATAAATTTGAAAATATTCGCTCCATTCTGCCTCGATTATCCCCTTGTGCCCGTCTAATTCTTCTAGGGTGAGGTCCTCTTCGGTTTCAGCGTCCTGCGGGAGGTCATGATATATCTCCATCAGAGTCTCTACTTTGAACGTTAATAGTCTTAATTGACCTTCCTGTTGCATGGTGAGTGCTGTTCTTGAAGTTGCAGGCGTTGATTTTCGTTGAGCGGGCTCCTTTGATCTTGACGCTCCACTTGGACTCTTGGTTTCCTCAGGAGTGGTGATTGGCTTCGTTGTAACTGTCTCATTTTTTCTTGGCAGTTCCTCTTCTTGTGTGACTTGCTCGCTTTCCTCACTATCGCTCACTGGTTGTTGAGTTTCTTCCTTGGGTTCGTTGACCTTAGTGTCGTCTGCCATGGTGATTGTCTGTGCTGAATTGACGGTTTAGGTGAGTTATCGGCTGTTGAATTGGGTGAGTTATCGACCGCTGAGAGTTGGGTGAGTTACCGACCGCCGAGTTAGGTGAGTTACCGACCGCCGAGTTAGGTGAGTTACTGACTGCCGAGGTTCGGTGAGTCGCCTGTTGCGTGGCGCACGTGGCCAAGCGTTGGTGGGCTTCGGCGAAAGTTTTTTCGACACGAGGCGTTCCTTAAATTTTCACAGCACTTTACACACGTTTTCACCCACAATCCGGCTCGAAGGATCACTGTTTGGTGAATGTCTAGGGTTAGGGTGGATGTGGGATAAAAATGTGGAGGGAGATGTTGGGAAAATTATGTTAGGCGGTTTATAAAAAATTATAATATATTTCCGTGGGATCGAACCACTTGTCAAGTAATTTTACAGTCTTTGGTATATTAACTGTTGAATGTCTAACTTCACTGATAATTGTCTTTTCACCTTTATCTCGTTGAGTCACTGAAATTATACTGAACTTAATCAACAAGTTGATGTACTGAACAAAGATATTAAATTTAGAATACTGATTGACTGAATACGCTAGCTCATTATCGTAACGATACTTTAACACTACTGACTACTGACTCTTCTGGGTGCCGCGCTGACCTGTGTCCGTTGACCCGAAAGTTCACGGAGATTTTCGGAGATAGCCGAGTTAGTCGATCGTGACTAATATGGAGATTTAGGCTGTATTTCGAACAAATCTTTTTTGTAGATCTCATTATGCTCTACAAAAAAGATTTGAATAAGAGAAGTCGAATGTCCATTAGATTCTGAGATATTTAGCAAAATGTCACAGCTGGAAGAATGATTGTTTAGCACAATTCGAGAAAATTTCTTTTAGTTTTCAGTTGAGGGTCAAATGACCTTTAGAAACATTTGGAATTGAAAGTCAAGTGGTCTTAAGGGTCGAATGGGGTAAAGTTGGAGTAATGACTAAGGCTCATTCCACCCTCATGACCAGTTGACCCTCAATTAAGAACAAAAAATAACATTCCTGAATGGTGAAAGGTGATGAGTCAATTATAGCTCGAGTCTTTTGTGAATATCTTTGGATTTAAGGGACATACGACGATTTATGCCTCGACCTTTTTCGTAGATCCTATTATGCTTGACAAAAAAAATTTAGATAAAAAAAGTTGTGTGTCTGTTAGATTCTGAGATATTTAGCAAAATGTGGCCACAGGAAGGACTATTGTCTAGCACAATTCAAGAAAATTTCATTTTGTATTAGTTGAGAGTCAAATGACCTTTAGAGACGTTTTAAAATGAGGGTCGAATGAGTTCAAATCAAGTAATTAGAAAAGCTCATCTGACCCTCATGACCATTTGATCCTCAAGTAAGAAAAAAAAAACATTTCTAAATCGTGAAAGTGATCATAGCTTGAACCTTTTGTGAATATCTTTGGATCTAAGGGACATACGACTATTTATATCTGAATCTTTTTTGTAGATCTCACTATGCTCTTCAACAACGGTTTTGACAAGAAAAGTCGTTTGTCCATTACATCATGAGATATTTAGGAAAATGTCACAACTGGAAGAACGATTGTTTAAGACAATTCACGAAAATTTCATCTAGTTTTTCATTGAAGGTTTAATGATCTTTAAGAACGTTTGGAATTGAAGGTCAAGTGATCTTAGGGTCGAATGGGTTAAAGTTGGAGTAATTAGAAGGGCTCATTTATCCTCATGAACATTTGACCCTCAACTATAAGAACAAAATAAAAACATTCATGATGAGAAGTGAGTGAATTATAACTCGAGTTTCATGGGGATATCTTTGAATCTAAGTGACAAACGACTATTCATCCCTGAATTTTTTCTATAGATCTCATTATTCTCTACAAAAAAGGTTCTGTAGATTCGAAGATATTTAGCAAAGTATCACAGCTGCAACATCGACCTTTTGAAAGTCTCCTTCTCCTGAAAGTCTCAACTTGAGACTTTCTAAAGTGTCAATTTAAGATCTTCAAAGTCTCAAATGAGGGTTTTCTTTTCTGAGTATACCTGTATGATGCAGCTCTTCATCATTTCATGGATGCTGTAGGTAATTTGAGTCAGAAGGTTATGGAGCTGGGGTACACTAACAGTGAACCACTGTTGTCCGCTGTTGGCAAGTTATTGAAGACTGAATTTTTTCATCTGTCGAAGATTGAGGTTCTCTGCAGGCCAATGATCGATCAACTTGTGGAGATCTATCAACATCCTCACATCAGGATGAGGGAGTGGGGATGGAGGCAATAATATTACCAGCCGTGTTTGATTACCTGTGGTGAAGTTACAGTGAAAATCCGACTCCATCCACTCAAGAGCACAGAAGTCTCCTTCTTTCGAGTCTCTCGTTCAGCAGCGTGTCTCTGCTCAGTCTACTGCTCAGACACAGCTCTTTCCTCAGCAAAAACTTTATCGAAGTTCTCCTGCTACGTCTCGAGCTCAATTACTTTTCTACCTCAAGCTCAATCGTGCTGTCCTCAAGCTCAGCCGGGATTTTCCTTTTGGATTTATCAAGCTTATCATTCCTAGCTTGAAGCTTTTCAATTCGACGTTTCAAGGCCTGAATGTCCTTCATGCAACACTTTCTACTTCCTTGAGAACTGGAGCAGCCTCAGCTTCTGCATTTCCTCGTTTTTTGGCTGCTGCGAGTTGAATTGCTTGAATTTATTTTCCTCTTGCTCTCGAAGTTGATCATGAAGGCTCTTGATGGCTCTCAATGAATCGTAGTTTGGAAGACAGTGCGAGATTCCTCTTCAAGCTGTTGAGTTAGATCTGTGAACTGGGATTTAAACAGCTCGAAGCCTTCAGAGCAGCTGGAGGCTTCAGTTTAGCAATTTCCACCTGTTGAAAAATGATTTTATCAGCGAGCTAAAACAAAAGGGTCAAAATACATCTCAAAATGGCTCGACTGTTGGATTGAATCAAACCCCTCTCTTCTAACCTCAAAACCTTTTCTCCTCATCCTTTTATCTCACTGTCATGCGCCACTTACCAAAAATTGAAATAAATATGGAGAGCAAAGTTTAGATATATTTTTATATAGAAATACTTACGAAAAATTTTTCTCACTGTATGAAAAAAAACATCTATCAATTGGAGTAACAATAATTATCATTCGAATGAATCACCATTTTGCACTAGCACCGCATCCTTGAGTTATTCCATACGTTCAATCCCCCGATATTATTAAATCTAATGATGAACACTCATTTTTTGATTAATTATCGAATAAAGTTATGAAAAATACGAGGGAATGGTTTTCGTTGACACGGACTCGCGGGCAGCTCCACGTAATGGCGGCTGATAAGGAACAGTGCTTCCATCTCTGAGCTAAATGTGAACTCGTTTTATTGCCCCAACCTCATCAAAGTTGGTGGTGTTTTCGACTTCCTGGGGATTCCAACTATTTATTGT